TGAAAATGGGTCTTCTATGAATTTCATCACCCAATTGTGTCTGTACCCGGTCTATGGTTCATTAGCTAGGTATGACTATACACCATATTTCCCCATTCTTTCTGCATGTAGCTAATGGCCAAAGAATTGTTTGTGGTGGAATCTATAAAAATGAAAAGATAATGATCCAAGGACACACCATCCATGTGGACCTCCATCCCTTGGACCTCTCTAGAGCTGATGTAGTCCTAGGCATCCAATGGCTATGTAGTTTGGGCCTATTGACTTGTGATTGGACATGTCTGATTATGGGTTTTGTGTTGGAAGGTTCACCTTGCCACCTTCAAGTGTCCACTCAATTGTTGCAAAGAAAGTCTTGGGACCATAGAATCCTACTCTTGCCCGGGTCCAAGCCCATTAATGCCAGGCCCTACCGCTACCTAGGAAGGTCTTGGGACCATAGAATCCCGCTCTTGCCCGGGTCCAAGCCCACTAACGCAGTAACGCCAGCCCCTACTGCTACCTGTATTTTCAAAAGATTGAAATTGAGAAGATAGTGGGGGAACTGCTCAAGAAGGGGTTTATTCAGGCCAACAATAGTCCCTATTCTTCTCTTGTTCTCTTGGTCAAGATGGGACATGGTGGTTTGATGAATTGGGCTCAGTCATGGTTTTCTTTAACATGGACTTGAGATCTGGGTATCACCAAATTCAGGTACACCCTGAAGACGTTCCTAAGACAGCTTTTAGGATGCATGACAAGCACTATGAGTTAGGGGTGTCAATTGGACTGGATTTGGTCCAATTTGGTCTAGTCCAAGGTGAGTCCATTACAAATGGACCTGGTCCAATCCAGTCCAATAAATATTTTGGACCATTTTGGACCAGTCCAGAGACTGTTCAATCTGTTCAAATTCCTGTTAATTTAGATTGGTTTCAACTCAAACCTGGTCCATTGACACCTATGTTCTTATCTTCTATCAATGGACCTGATATTGGCTCAATCCAATATAAATTCATTATGGACGGACCAGGTCCAATCCAATATGTCATATTGGTCCATCCAGTCCGTTCAAATTCAATGTCTTATTGGTCCGTCCAATCCGTCCAAATGGATTTTGATTTGGATGGAGTCCAACCCAAAACCGCTCCATTGACACCCCTACTATGAGTTCCTTGTCATGCCCTTTGGCCTGACGAATGCACCATTCACCTTCCAAGCTATCATGAATGAGGTGTTCAGACCATATTTAAGGCATTTATATTGGTGTTTTTGATGACATCCTTTTCTTTATGAAAGATTGGGATTCCCACTTGCATCACCTTCAGCTCACCTTACAGTTATTGAGCCATCACCAGCTCTGTGCAAAGCTGTCCAAGTGCACCTTCCGCCAAACTCAAGTACATTGCCTTGGGCATGTAATTGCAGCAGAAAAAGTATTGGCTGATCTGGACAAAGTTGTTGCAATGCAAGAGTGGCCCAGGCCACTACGGTAAAGGCCCTATGAGGCTTCCTTGGCCTCACAAGATACTATAGGCACTTGCACTTCATTAAAGGGTATGGCCTCATGGCCTCAAAAGGCATTTGAGCTTAAGCAAATAATGTCTAGCCCTCCCAGTCTTGACTTTACCAGGTTTCTCCCAGCCATTTGAGCTTCAATGTGATTCTTCCAGGCTGGGAGTGGGAGCAGTTCTCATGCAGAAAGGATAGTCAATTGCTTATTTTAGCAAGGTTCTCTCTCTAATAGCCCAGGCCCAATACACATGCCAAAGAATTAATGGCTATCATGCTAGCAGTTCAGAAGTGGCATCCGTACTTGTAGGGATGTTTGTTTGTGATCAGGACTGATCATCGCAGCCTCAAATACCTCTTGGGACAGAGAGTTCACACCCCGGAGCTGCAAAAATGGGTCAGTAAATTGTTTGGTTATATGTTATAGAACACAAACCCAGGCCCAACAATCAGGCTATTGATGCTTTAACAAGGATGGAGGAGTTGGCCCACCTCATGTGCTCACAGCCCCACTATTTCATTGTTTGATGCTATCAGGCAAGAGGCTAGAGCCGATCTTGGCTTGTAGCAAATTCGTTCACAGTTCCAACAGGACCCCAATACAACACTTGGGTACACTTTAGTGGGCCTGGATCTTTTTTACAAGGGGTGGTTTGTAGTAGCCCCCCAATTGGCCCACAAGTCAGAGCTTCTTCAACTTTTCCACAATTCAGTATTGGGTGGACATTCATGGGACCTTCAGACATCAGACTCTTAGGTGATTAGGCAACCATTATTATTGGGCTGTAATGCATCGGGATGTTATGAAGCATGCAGCTGAGTGCACCATGTGCTAACAACATAAATATATGGCTCAATCTCCAGTAGGTCTCTGGCAATCCCTTAAGATTCCAGAGCGCGTATGAAGCTATATCCATGGACTTCATCACAGGTTTTCCGCACTCATCAGGAAAGTAGTGACCAATGTTTTAAAAGGCGTGGAAGGCGTACGCCTAGAGGCGCGCCTCCAGGCGAGACCTCCCCCAAACGCCTTGAGGCGTATGCCAGAGGCGCTGACACCTCTGAGGCGTATGCCTTAGGTGCAAGAGGCGTATGCCTCATACGCTTTTTCATGAGGCGTGCTAGAGGCATACGCCTCATGCACACCTCATGTAAAAAGATAGAAAAAAACAAAGAAAAAAGAAAAAAAAAGGAAAGGAAAGAAAAAGAAAGAAAAGTAAAGGAGGGAAGGAAAGAAAAGATAAGGGGAAAGAAAGTGGGCTGAGGACAGCCCCCAGACCCCTTCAGCTGGGGGGCTTCGCCCCCTTTTCGATGCCAGCCCAATTTGGTTTTTTTGTGTTAGGGGTGATATGCATCTTCATTCTTCTTAATATATAAGTTTTTTTATTAAAAATAAAGAAAAATGAGATCCTCCTTCCTCCTCATCCCCCCTCCTCTTAAGTAGGCTTACGCCTCTTTGTGTTTGGGAGGCTTACGCCTCTTACGTTCTGAACTATGCCTCACGCCTCTAGGTAGTGGAATGCCTCGCGTCATGCCTTTGCGTTTTAAAACATTGATAGTGATTATGGTTGTGGTTGATAGACTATCAATTTTCTTCTCTTCCACACCCCTATTCTGCTTCAATGGTAGCTAAAGTCTTTGTTAAAGATGTTGCTTAGTTACATGGGACCCCCAGCTCTATAGTTTCAGATCGGGATCCCACTTTTCTCAGTCAGTTTTGGAAGGAATACTTTCGTCTGCAAGGCACTTGTCTATACAACTGCACCAGTTACCATCCATAGTCGAATGGCCAGACGGAGGTCTTCAACCAATGCTTGGAGACTTATTTACGGTGTTATGCAGGAGAGAAACCAAAGCAGTGGGCCACATGCTTCCTTGAGGGCCCATTTATCTGTAAAAATTGGCTCCAACCCTACCAGCCATAAAAATGAAATCAAATGATAAAAAAAGTAGAATGCGGTCATCAACAAAACCATGTTCAGGTTGGTCAACACAGATGCCATGGCCATGTGAATTCTACCCAGGTAGAAGCAAAAGACCAATTCTTTAAACCAGCTAGAAAACTAATCAAATATTGTTAATCTCAAAGTTTCTTATCAAAGAAAGGTTAATAAAAACCATTAATTTGAAAAACAATGATAAACAAAAGAAGACATAAAAGGGTTCTGATTTTATAACTGCTGATTGATAAAAAAATCATGCATTTGTTTTAGACGGAAAACAGAGCAACCAGATAACACCCAAACACTCTTCAAATTGTAGCTTAGGGGTTTTGAAAACTTTAAACAGCTGAGTGAGAATCTTTTTGGAAGTTAACAGGTGGAATCCTAATGGAGGGGGTCTTTTTTGCAAATGAAAGTTCAGGGGGGAGGGTTCACTGACCCCATAGTACCGGGGGTGGGGGTCTTTGTAATTTACCCTTTTACATACTTTCTTGCCACATGGCTCCAGTCTGTCCATCCTTTGTCCTTTTGGACTGGCAGCTTGCATCGAATAATATCTTCAACTTATCCACCAGGCCATCCTCATCTGCCCTCATTTTTATGGTGGTCTTGTTTTAATTGTCCAACATTCTTCTGTTTAACCTATAAAACTTCCTCTTTAACTTTGTGGTAGAGGCATTTTGCCCTGAAAACACATCTCTATTTCATGATTTCAAATACCTTATTCTAGTTCTATGGACATCTTCTTTTGTTGTCAATCTAGTTCAATCTTTCTTTCCTTATGGATAATTGAACCAAGATACAGAAAATGATAAGTTTGAAGAATAACTTGGTCAATGGCCACCAGTCTTATACATCTTTTTTTGTCAGTGAAGGAAATAAAAAAGCATAACTAGTTTCATATTTGTACTGCTACACTTACTACATACCTTAGTTCAGCTTGTAAAAATATCCCAATTCTTTCCTTTTATTGTTCTACCTTCATATTAATTCCTCTAGTCTAGTTAAGCAAAAGTAAGTCAATTACACAAATGTAAATCAAAAGTTGCTTTTCGACATGCCAGTCAATTACACAAATGCAAGATGATATGCACCAGTGTTGGTTTTTGTTGTAACTTGTTGCAATTGGAAACTGACCTTCGATTTCCTTTGTTAGTGTTGCTTCATCCGTTTACATATTACTGGTCATTATACACTTGAAAGTTGGAGCATAGAACCCAAATATAAATGGATGCATGTGATTGGAGAACCCCCCTCCCCCCAAAATAACTATTTGTGGGACTCATGGAGTTTTATAAGTTGCATGCCTATACTCCTTGAAGAACCAGAATATTAGAAATGACTGTTCTGTAGGGAAAAAATAAACTTAGAATTGTTGCATTACTTAAGGCTATGGGACCTCATATGACTTCTTGGCTTGGGTTTTGGCTTAGTGGCTGATTTCTATTAGTACTCATCTCAAGGAATGCTGTGGATGGATGTGCTTTCCTTGTGCGTATTGATGTAGGAATGATATGAGAAGCAATGCTGTGGATGAATGTGCTTTCCTTGTGTGTATTGATGTAGGAATGATATGAGAAGCAATGCTGTGGATGAATGTGCTTTCCTCTGATAGCTGAAACCCAAGGTGCCTTCATTGGGGGAAGATTGGGACTGCAAAGTTGGAAAACTCTCTTCCAAATATCTGGGTATGCCGTTGGGTGAAAACTGCAAGTCCAACTTTATTTGGGATCCCATCATAGAGAAAATGGACAGAAAATTGGCTTCATGGAAAACCAAATATTTGTCCAAAGGGGGCAAAGTAACTCTAATCAGAAGTGTGTTGTCATCCCTTACTGTTTTTTACTTGTCTCTATTCCTGATTCCGGCCAGGTGGGCAGCTGTGTTAGAAAAGAAGATAAGGGACTTTCTCTGGAGGGGTTGGAAGGAGTCAAAATGCCACCTAGTCAACTGGGGAAGGATCTGCAACTCCAAGAAAAATGGGGGTCTAGGGATCAGGCCAGTGAAAAATATCAGCACAACCATGCAAGGAAAGTGGTTATGGAGATTCAATGAGCAACCGAATAGTCTGTGGAGATCAATTGTGGCCAATACGGGTCAAGCAGAAGAGAGTGAGATACTGAAGAAGCTAGAACATCTTATGGATGCTCCCTATGGAAGGCAATTCAAAAAGTTCAATATCAGTTTTTGAAAGGAATAAAATATGAAGTTGGGAATGGCCTCAGGGTGCTATTTTGGAAGGATTTCTGGTATGGGGGTGGCCCTTTAATGACTCTGTTTCCTGATCTATTCAAGATCTTGGTTAACAAGGAGGCAACTGTGGCTGATTGCTTGGATAGACAGAATGGTCAGTGTATCTGGAACCCCCAATTCAGGAGAATTTTAAATGATTGGGAGGTGGCTTCTTTGGTCAGGTTATTTTAGTTATTGGGTGAAGCAAAGATAACAGGAGTAGGAGAGGACAAGAGAAAATGGCTCTTCAAGAAATCAGGCACCTTCTCTGTGAAATCCTTCTCCCATAGCTTGTCTAGGGAGGAGCCCTCTGCTTTCCCAAGTGACAAAATATGGATTAGATCTGTTCCTTCTAAGCTGGCTTTCTTTGTTTGGCCAGCAATGCTGGATAAGATTTTAACAAAAGATAATTTAGTTAGAAGAGGTATAGAGGTGGAGGACTTGGGCTGCATCTTATGTGATGGAACTGTGGAATCCTCTAGTCATTTGCTGATCCACTGTAACTTTCATTGGATTTGGATGATAGTGCTGAATCTGTTTGGGGTTAAGATGTGCTTCTCAGCTGATGTGAAGGGATTTATAGCAGCTTGGGCACTTGGAGGTTTATCCAGGGCTGGAAAGGTAGCATGGAGTATCCTTCCTGCAGCAGTTTTTTGGGCAGTATGGTGTGAAAGAAATAACAGGCTATTTGAAGGGAAGATAAATTCCAAAAGAAGTTTTTAACAGAATTATGGGGATGACACATTCTTGGTTGGCAACTCATCAGTTATTCAAAAATAGGCATATGCTTTCCTTTTTTGATTCAGACTTCCTATTTGTAAGGAATCTATAGTCTTTTTTTGGTCTTTTGGAGGGTTGGAAATCTGTGGATAACTGTTTCCTTGGTGTACAGCTTCTCACTGTACAGAGGCTTCTTTGTATTTTGGCTTTTGATATTAATGAATTACTTTACCTTAAAGGACACTCAAAAAAGAAAAAAAAGAAGCAATGAAGTTTTTATATCTTAAAGTCACGGTATTAAGGCAAAAAGCATGAGGTGTGTGTATTAGCTGCAAAGTGATAGTAGATAGTGAGGCTGGGAATATCATACCTCACAAGGCACAACAAAACATAGCTTCAAATCAAATCATATTTATTCCATCTCTTATGGTGAAGCCTTACAATAAAAGTCCAGGGTAAGCCAAACCTAGGCTTTCCTTAACAAACTCAAATAGTTGATGGCCAAGAATAAGATTTCTTCAAACTAGATTATGTGACACCCAAGCAGTTTTCTGATTCCACATGAATTCTTAAAATCAAGTAAGAACCACTTCCTAACATAATCCAAGGAAACCATAAATTACTAAAAATAGTAAATCAGGAATTACTTAAATAGTAATTCCAATAATTACCATAAATAGTAAGTTTCTTTTTAGTAAAAATAAAATAGCAAATTTCTAAGACTGAAATTTAGCACCACAACCACCTAACTCCCAATAAATTTCCCTTTGTCGGCTGCTGAAATTGTGGACCCCCATTGAAGCCCAATGGGCATTGGGCCCAGTAGAAGATCAAGACTGTAATCAGTCTTGAATCCTAATAGGTTTTAGGTTTACAAAACAGAAGAAAAGTGAGAGAAAGGAGAAGGAATAGAAGAGAAACAGAACACAAGGGGTTGAAAGGAGGGACAGATTCTAACAGACCTGCCGCCGCCACTCTCTTATTATTTATAGGTTATGTTCAGTACATAATGGAAAAAGACAAATCTGCCCTTAGTACTTACATGATAATAAAGTAAATAAAAACTGAAATAAATAACAACTGAATTAACAAACTGACCCAAACTGACACTACTATAACTGAAACAAATAACTACACATGCTG